ATCACTTGCCCAGTCCACTTCCTCATGCAATGACATGGCATGCTCTGGGTGGTACAGGGACACGTGCTGGTGACAGGAGTTGAAAAGGATCATTTTGTGTTTCTAATTATGAGTTTCTAATTATGAGGGCCAAAGCCCTGGTGGGTTAGTGTCAGCTGCAAGCACTTCCCATCATTTTGCCTTCTCTACTTCCCTTGTTCAGGGCATCCCAGTTTCCCAGACAAGGGTTTGTTCCCAATGGACCAGCATGTCGGTTTTGTTCTTTGTTGGGGCCAGACAAAGCAAGAGACAAATACATCGACTGTAGTAGTACGAAGCAAAAGCTTACAAAAGCAACGCCAGGCTCCACTGTGCTGAAACAAAAAATTTCTAAGGGAATTAGAAAGGTGTTCTCCAATAGCCTAGACAGAAATAAGAGTTCTGACAGCAGGAGAAAGTAGCAGACAAGTAGAGGGGAAAAACTGACAGAGTTTTAAGCAACAGTAAAAAGTCAGGGACTGCTGATATATTAGGAACCAAGGGGGAAACACTTGTGAAATGCCTCAAAGGAATTAGTGCATGGTCCTCCAAGAAGGTGACAAGGTCACTGACACAGCTGAAGTGCCTCTACCAATGAACAGAGCACGGGTATCAAACGTGAGGAGCTGGAAGCCACTTTGCAGCTGGAAAAAGCTATGACCTAATTGCTATCACTGATATATCGTGGGAAGGATGACACAACTGGAGCACTGCAATCAACAGCTAAAAACTGTTCAGGAGGCCCAGGCAAGGAAGGAAAAGCAGGTGGTTACCCTCCATGTAAAAATAAAATAAAATATAAAAAAATAGATTGGCTCTAGAGAGCCGCCTTGGAAAACAGGAATGAACAAGTTGAGAGCTTATGGGTAAAAATTAGGGGCCAAGCCAATAAAGGAAACCTCATGGCTGGTATTTACTACCAGCTACCTGATCAAGGGGAGCTTACTGATAAAAGAGTTCTTACTTCAGCTACAGGAGGTGTCATGCTTGCAGGCTCTGATCCTGCTGGGGGGCTTCAATCACCCTAACATCTGCTGGAAAAGTGGCACAGTAAGCTATAAGCAGTCTAGGAGACTCTTGTAGTGTGCTCAGGATAATTTCTTAATCCAGGTGACAGACAGTGCAATTAGAGGGGAGGCATTATTAGACCTGTTGCCTACCAATACAAATGAACTATTTAGGGATGTAAAGATTGGTGGCGGACTGAGCTGCAGTGGTCAGGCCCTGGTGGCATGAGGGGTATGGACCAGGTGAAGAATAGAGTAAGGACTCCAAATTTCAAGAGGGCACTCTCAGTTGTTTAACGAATTAATGGATGGGACCTCCTGGGGAAGTGCCCTGAGAGACAAAGGAGCTGAACAAAGTTGATAGCCCATTAAGGACATTTTTCTTAGAGATCAGGAGGTCTCAATTCCACAGGTAAGAACTCAAGCAAGAAAAGCAGGAGATGCTAAGGACCTCCTGGTCAAACTACAGTATGAGAAGGAAAGGCACAGGCACAGGGACCAGGGACATATAGGCTGAGATTAGAGGGATGCTGCCCAGGTGTGTACAAATGGGATCAGGAAAATTAAGGCACAGTTAGAGCTCAATTTGGCACAGGATAAAAATAATATGGGCTTCTACAGGAACACTGGGTAGAAAAAAGAAGATTAAAGTAAACATACCCCCCTTGATAAGTAAGACATGAGAACTAGTAACCACCAATATGGAAAGGCTGGTAGTTACTCAACTGTTTTTTTTACCTTGGTTTTCAACAGTAATCTCTCTTCCCACATCTCTCAATTCTCTGAACCTCAAGGCAGGGATTATAGAATGAAATTATGTCCATTATAAGGGAAACTAAAGGTTGAAGGTTCAAGACCATTAAACCTTCTGAGATACCTGAACATGAATTAGTCCATGGGACCCAGTGAGATGTATCCCAGGGTCCTGAGGGAATTGGCTGATGTTGAGCCATGTTCAATAAAACTGAGAAGTCATGGCAGTCAGGCAAAACCCCAGTGACTGGAAAATGGAAAATGCCACACCCATTTTTAAAAAAGGTAAAAAGGAGGACCTTGGGAACTACCAACCAAGCAGCCTCACCTCCACACCCAGTTAAATCATGGAACAGATCCTCCCAGAAGACATATGGAATATAGGGAGTTGCCTAGAGACAGAAAGAGCAAATCATGCCTGACTAATTTGGTAGCCTTCTTTGATGGAGTGACTGCATCAGTTGACAAAGGAAAAGCTACAAAAGAGCTTTTATCAGCATCTGCCTGAACTTCTGATCGGCTGGAACAGGTTGTCCAGAGAAGTTGTAGATACCCATCACTAGAAGTGTTCAAGGTCAGGTTACCCAGGGCTTTGAGCAACCTGATCTAGGTAACATTATCCCTACCTGTGGCAGGGGAAGTGAACCACATGATCTTTAAAGGTCCCTTCCAACTCAAACCATGCTATGATTGTAATCCTTCAGGCCAGTTCTTGGAGATAAGAGTTTTAAAATTTATACAAATACATGGTTTAAATGGTTATTTCCAAGTAGAAGAAAGCTACCTGTAGGGAAAAAGGGGTACTTTGGCCAAATGTGGCATAATCTAGACAAAAACATAGGAACTGCTTGCACGCTTCCATTACCTTGTCGTTAGATAAACAATGGCAGCAGCTGCTGGGGGCATCAATATACACACAGACAGCTTGGAATGTGGTTCTCCCAGCAGAGGCATTTCTTGCTTTGTAGCTGAAATGACCATTTAGTCCATCAGGGTTGAGGATAGCCATATCAAACATCTCCCTTCACAGACACAGATCTGATCTGTGAAAGGCAGGTTGTCATGCATCCATGCGCTGCAGAAATGGCACCAGTTCCTACAGTAATAGGATGCAACACCAAACTGAGCAGAGGCCCAGTAAAAGATGAAATGGAGACAATGTGTAGAGGTCAGGTTCCTTCAGCTTAAGTGAGCAATTCACAGAAACAGGCTTCAAGGCAGCAGTAGGAAAGCAAAGAAGCATCACGAACAAGGTCTCCCAGTACCAACTTTTTGCTTGTTTGTTTTGAAAGGAGAAGGATCTAGACAAAAAGAATATTACAAAGCATCACTTTAAAAGGACTTTATTCTGTTTTCATGCAAACTCTGATTTTTCAAAAAGACTCTTTTGCCTCAGTCTTTTTGTTGTTTACTTTCAGACTTTGCTGAATGAAGTTTCAACTTCTTAGCAAGACAGCCTGACTCCCGGTCTACATATACATACTGTAACCTTACCTCTCAACAAACTACAAAAGCCTTCAATGCATTCTAGAATTCAATTGGCAGTAGATGTTCCAGAGATCAGATTTATCTAATTGAAGTAAAGTAGAGGGAAAGCATCTGAACCAAACAACCAAAACCACAAGTATGATTGCAACAGTAAGAGCTCTTTCAGCAGGGGAAGAAGATACCTTTTTAAAAGGCTCCTTCGTCCCCCAGTGATTGCCTTCAACTGTGTCCCCGTAAGTAGGTGCATCCTGAGTTACACAATCCTGAGCAACATGCTCTAGGAAACCCTGTTTGAGCAGGGAGGTCAGACTGGATCACCTCCAGCGGTCCCTTCCAACTGTATTACCCATTCTGTGATTTTAACTACAACTAGTTTTCTATGCGTAGGAAGCACTACAGAATTGCTCCCTGGTACACCAGTTCTGCCTCTCTCTAATTAAATATGCATAGAAAGAAAGAACATGAAGAAAGTTCCAGAGCCTGTAGGCAGCACAGCAGGCTGATAATATCCTTCTGCCCTCAGAGAAAGAGCCAGAGTTGGTAGATTGCTCAGCCTACATGAACAGCAATTCAAAGCCTTGATCTTGCCTGAACTTAATGAAGTAAATATTCCTGTTTCCTTTTTTGGACGTAATACTTTTCAAGTTAAAATTTTTCATTTCAGCTAACAGGGAGGACAAAAGTATATGCAGGTTATGCAGAATGAAGTCTTCTGGGGAGCTTCTAGAAGTGTAACTGCAGTTGTTTTGTTTGTTGGGCTTTTTTTGCATCACGCCAGAGACAGCAAGTGTTCATTCCAGAACACTTCCCCCAAGAACACTATCTGCACAAAAAGCTGTGTAATATAAAGGAAACTTCGGGAGTTCCACATTGAACCTGCAAAATGTAAGAACTCTAGAAGCTTCAGTCACCAAAAAACCAACAACCAAATAGAAAACTTTCTTTGAGTTAATAGGAAATGAAAGACAGTACACTAAGCATTTATTTAATCCCATTTATTTGCAGCCATGAACCATGAACATGCACTCCTTTTTCACAGAATCACACTGAATCATGGAATGGTTAAGGTCAAAGGGACCTCTGTAGATCACCTGGAACAACTGCCCTGCTGCAGCTGGGCCACCTATAGCCAGTTGTCCAGGACTCTGTCCAGATGGCTTTTCAATATCTCCAAGGCAGGAAACTCTACAAGCTCTCTGTGCAACCTGTGATTAGTTGCCGTGATGGTAAAAAGTGTTTCCTGGTGTTTGGAAGGAACCTCCCAAGTTTCATTTTTTGGCAATTTCACATAGGGTCTTAAGAATCACACCTAAGTGTGTTCAAGAAGTCATCTGGAACTCACTTGTTGTTAGCATGCAAAATCGAACAGAAGACCCTTTAATCAAAGAAGTTTCAAAAAAAACCTGACAAAAAACATTTAGTCTATTTGTAGATGGAATGGGTTGAGGAACTCACTATGCGACAAATAAATCACAATCCTTTTCCTTGCAAGCAACAATTCTGCAGCTACTTAAGTTTCTAAGCATTTGGTTTAATATACTATTTATTGAACAGCTAGAAATCTTTCTTGCTGCCCTACTGTCTGAGCAATTTATGTTTTCATCTGTATGCCAAGATGAAAGCTGCTTTAAGGACAAGTCTTCATTGCTTGGTCCCAATTTCACTTTTCTCTGAACAAATTCACCTTTCTACTTCAAGTTTTATTCAAATAAATGTCAGCTATAATCCTGACATCCCATGTGACAGATTAGGAGCCCCGCTTTCAGAGTCCTTGAAAAGCACAAGCAGTCTGTAAGGCAAATCAGGTCAACATATAGCATCCTAAGAGGAAAAGGAATTGAGAGTTAAGAGAAACCAAAGATGAATTCCCATCTCTGGCATAGGCTAACCATTTCTTCCAGGTGAAGTTCGGGGGGAAAAAAAGTCCTAGTGGAAGTCAAGTTATAGATTGCATGTGGAATTAGCTATGTGGCTATCAGAAGGCATTATTTGCCAGTGCACCAAAATCTAACCCTTGTGAAGTAACATCAACAGAGGAATCTGAAAAGTTTCTTAGAATCTGTCCTGGATCTACCGTTTTTCCAAAACACAAAAGGTATGTGCATAATCAAAAACTGTTTCTCTTTTTAGTACCTTAAGAAATATGGACTGAAGAGATTCAAGCCCTAGCAGCAGCTCTCAACCCGCCATTCAGTGAGGTGAGCACAAGACAGGTAAAAAACCCAACCACCAAAGCCCAAAACAACTATCACATTCCTCAAGTACAGCCTTTTCCAGAGGTGAATTTCAGTGCCTACCAGCTTTCAACAGCACACAACTCACATAACGTGTCTTAGTCACGCACCATATGGAACACACAGAGTGACATTTTGATGTGATTAAGAGCTCAAACTCTTTAGATTAAAGAAATCCCAACATGCCAAATAACTTTTGTATATTTTGCATAAAACTTTAACCTTGCACTCATTTTGTAAGCTCATCATTAGTCCACAACATAGCTACCAAATATTTAAGAAACACAAGTAACACCTGAAATCTTAGGAATACCAAGCTGATCAGTTAAAAAAATTGTGGCTGAAGCTGAGTTAGCCAGAAGACAGAAGTATTCTCAAAAATTCTGTTTATGACATAAAATGAGGAAGCTAAGAATACTTAGTTCAAGCAGACACAGAAGTCTAGTAACAACTGACTAGCTAGCAGAACCATATATATCACTCTTGCAAACTTCCCCAGCAACTATCTTAGATCACATTATTATGTAAAAGTAACATTGCTGTAGATTTTTAAAGCCCAGAGTTATATCCATTTTTTTCTCCAGTCCTAGAACTGCTCACCACCATGCCCTACTGACACAGAGCAGTGCAAGTCTTCACATATTTAGCACTAGGTCCTTGACAAGCAAGTATTCTACACTGCAAAAATGTCAATCTGTCAGGTGAGATATCGTTAGTGTTGTAGGTCTCACGCTAGGGAATGGTGCATGTTACATCAGTCTGAGTGGGTTCTTTCCCTGGGTCACCTGTGTTCTGGGCCATCCTTGTATTAACCCCCCAAACAAGAAAACAAAAACAAATTGTTGCAGCCAGTTCCCTCATCATGGAAGTTCTGTATCCAATACCATAGCTAGGTCAAGAGCACTGTGCTCAACCAAGGAACTGCTCAGTACTGCTTGCTTGGACAAGACATCAGCAAAACATGAAGACTGCACACAGCAGCACAAATAGCACAATTCACATCAGACACTTAAGCCCCTCCTAGAAAGAAATACCTTCATCAAAGCAACATGGTGCATTTGTAGAGGCTGAAGTGAAGACCACCTGGAACAAGAGGCGAGTGCTCAGTATTTTCAGTAGGGTTCAAGCACTCACAGTTCATTTTGCACACTTGCTTTACATTGCAGAAAGACCACATCATTAAAAAGAAGACAGCTTCCTTTGTTCACTATATGAGAAAGATTTAATTGCCTACACACTTTTACAAACAAGACCTTTATATCCTGTAGTAATACTTTAATCAATATTTTCCATTAGTCTAAGAACACATCCAAGAATTCTGCTGGAATTTGCCTCACTCATTTATGCTTTAACATCTACACATATATCTAGAGATTGTTTATAAACCACATATGAACTGCATTAAGACCACATGGTTCCGCTGAGAAGCTAAAAGCAGATATTGCTACAGTAATCAGAAGCACAGTCCCATAAGATTAAGTATTTCTGCAAGATATTTAGAAAGCTGCTCTAAACTAGTATTGGACATCTGAAAGCAGTTTCTGTGTCTGCAAGAGGACTATCTGTTCTGTTCCTCTGTTCTGAATAATATGCAACTTCCTCTTCCCCTCCCTCTCAATTTGCTAATAGTTAACATCAGTACAGATTTCAGTACAGTACAGTTCAGTACAGTACATCATCAGATTTAACAAACACTTATAAAGGAACATCGTAAAATAAATTACTCTTTTCTTGTCCTGTGCCAAGCAAGCAAACAAGGAAAAAGTAGTTTTCTTGATACCTTGAACTTTGAAAAAGAAACAGGACTGGGAAAAAGTCTAAAACCTACAGATAGGCTGTAACATATTAACTGTCAATACAATTCAAACCTAACAGAAAGACAGACAGCTTTCAAATCATAGAATGTTTTCACGAGGTTGAATTTCAGTTAAATTTTAGCAATACAAATACCATAATACAAACCATAGCCTTAAGGACCATAAGCAATACACTAACACGACAAGCTTTACAAGCCTTCAGCACCCTTAGCTCCAGATACAAAGATAAGACATTTTATTGGAATAACCCTGCAAACAAGACTTTCTCAGCTGAAATAAGGCTTCTTTTCACCCCATTTGTAAAAAGCATCATGCTGTTCTAAAAAGTTTACTGTTGATTTTATTTCTGAACAGGATTTAACCTGAGGATTAATCCAGCTCAGTGACTGGTTCTCTTAGAAAAAAAAAAAATTGTAGTAGGGTACTTCCACCTTACTTCAATGATCCACTCATTTCAAGGTTCCTTGCACTCCAAGACCTTTCTTTGTTGGGTACACATGGGTGAGTGACACAGCTCAGACAGATTTCTTCAAAAGGCATCTCTCACAGCTACATGTGCACAGACACAAAACATCAGCACACAGTAACTCCTGTAGACTGCACTCTACCAAAAGACCTGTCTGCACACAGATGTCACATACTGAAGAGGTATCCTTCACATATGGAAATTTATCCATTTCCCTCGTGTCCTTCTGCCAAAGTCCACCAGGGAGCACTGCAGTTGTGTATGCTATGGTAGTGCGTCCCAAACCATTTTCTGTAGTCACTTTTGACAAAAGCCCTGTTGTCTCACACTCCAGTCCATTGTTACTATGACAACAGTATTACAATGCCTTCCAATTACCAACGTATGATTTCAGTCGTGGATTCCTCCACCCCCACTAGCTCATAGAGAAGGCAGCCTTATTCTCAGGTCTCTTTCAAAAGGGGAAGCCCAAACTATAGAGCAAGAAATGTAAGATTCAGCCCTAGAAGCTCTCACTTCTATGATGAATATTAACATTTATAAGCTAATATAGCTTAAACAAGTGATTAGAGGACATGAAACTATTTAAAACCATAAACAAGAACTTAATTTAGAAAGCAAAAGTATTCTTTCACTCAACCTAAACCATCAAATTTTCATCTTGTATTTCCTATCATGCAAGGTTCCTTTGAGAAAGACCCCATGAAGAAACAGTATGAGAAGAGAAGCGTTTTAGGTGTTTGAGCCACTGCATGCACAGGATTTAAAACCATTTGCTACTTAAAGCAGGGTTCCACACAAATGACATCACTCACAGAGCAGAAACAGACCAAAAGAATTCATAACCTGAACAGTCTGATGAGCCTGCTTCCACAACAACAGATTTGGCTTTGAACAAAGAGTAGCTGAGTAATAAAATAAATACAGCCAGGATTTTTATTTTGCATATCAGGACAGACAATAGATGCTATTAACAAGGACTGCTTGGCCTTAATCATATCAAATCACAAGGTACCTTTTCTCTTATGTCAATATTAACTGCAACCAACAGACAGAAAAGCTCCACACTGCAGGGATTATTTCATGTCCTCTTAATGGAGCAAAACTAACCCTTCTGGTAGACAAAAACAGTCTAAAGTTCTTTAGATTGTCCTAGAGCTTAAAAAAATTCAAATACAAGTCACTGTCTTCCCATTACACACTATGAGCTGTCAGTAACAGTAGTGCTCCAACTCTGTAGTTCAAAAGTCAAAGCAGGAATATTAACAATATTAAAAATCTTCTGACATAAACAGCAGCAATAGTTAAAACATTTTACACAAAGTATTTGAAAGTACTTACTTAAGAGTATTTTCCAATGGTTTTACAAGCCCCTGAATATCAGATACCTGGGATGTCTCTTTGAATCTAAGCTTCCTTCTGGAACATCAGTTCTCCAAGAGAGTCTTTAGGAATTCAGTATATCTCTCCAACAAACAACATGTACAACCAGATCCCAAAGGACCTCAATTACCAATATCCCCTCTAATTCTTATTAAGAGGCTACTAGTCTTCTTACAGGCTTCTGTCAATCCAGCAGCTAAATCTACAGTCAGTGTAATTATTTTTCAGTTAAGGTACTAAAGCTTCTCCCCGTCACCCCACCCTCACCTCCAAAAAGAACAGAACACAATTCTGCTCTTTGAGAGCACTTCCTATGATTTTTTTTTTTACTATTATTATTTTCCAGGTAGTAAAATCAGACATGGTTTTAACTTTTAGAGCAATAAAGTTCCTCTGCTTGTAAGGCAAAACACTGTGAGCGAAGAACAAAAATATCATAAACTGCAATAATTTCACTATTTGCTGTACCTGCCTTCTCTGCAAGAGGACCAAACAGAGAAGTAGTTCAATGATTGGGCACATACATTACCATTTCTATAATTGTTTTAAGATTTGCTGTGCACTAGTTCTACTCATAAACTACCTTCCACAGATTTTTTTTTAATCCTAACAGAAGGTTTATCTGCCCTGCAGGAGGGGTCATGTGATATTCCCTCCATATCTTTCAACCTAAAGATGCATAATAGCAGAAGGTAATAACTACTGGATTCTTCTCGTTCCCCAGTTGTGAGGAAGCACAGCAGGGTGGGGAATGTCTTGACATGTCTACAAAGAGGCATTTAAATAATAGTGATCCCGATATTAAGGACAGGATCTATACACTAGAAAACCTGTTACCTTAAAAATGTTTTAGCTTGCTTGTTGTATCTTTCAAGTGCAAAAAGGGTAAAGATAAAAAAGAAGTTACACAGAATTCCTCTGGTCAAAAAGAGACAAACTGCACCTTGACAATACCATTAGGTCCCTTCATGGCACTGGGACAATAAATTCATCATGCCACAGGATCTTTGTAGTAGATTTTATAAGTAGCCCAGAGGAAGTCAGTAAAAACACTGGTCTGAAGTCATATTAAGTAATTCCTGACGAATCCTTAGCACTGCATGAACTAAAAGTGATTTTTAAAAAACTTTTACTGTTTTGTACAGTGATGGAGATTTTCAGCGGATAGAACTTTTTATTTCCCTAAAATTACTACAGAATCCTGTATGTCCAGATCCATAAACCACGGCATCATCACAGAAGATCTTCATGGTTTGCATATCTTGAAGGATGCCCTTAGAAACTAAGCAGGTGTATGACACCTGAGATAATATTTAGCCTAGCAGTCCTTTACATATCACAACACTTAACTGGAGATCCACCTGGAAAAGGAATAAATCTCTGCGAGAACAACTACAGCCTCTGCAGAAACAAACACACTGAAGGGCAAAGCAAACCCAGACAAACTACATAAGCACAGCTTCTGTAAGGTTATTTTTAGCCTAGTTTTCTAAAAAAAAAAAAAAAAAAACCAAAAAAACCTGTGCTGCACAAACAGTTTTAAAGGAGCTGTTAGTACTCAGGAAATACATTGAAGCTACTCCTGTGCACTGCTCAGCAACCAGAAAACCAAACCAGAAAGAACATTAGGCTACCCTATAAATCTACTTCACCCAGTTTTGGTGTTTGTACCCACCATACCAACCACTCACCTGTAAAAAAATGAAGGGGAAGGGGAGGCAGGGGGCAGAAACACCAGAATATTCAACAGGATTACGTAATAGAAGACTATGTTTTTCTGCTTGGAAAAGAGACATTTGAGGGGAAAAAAAGATAGAGGTCTATAAAATCACAAAAGATGTGCAGACTGAACAGAAATGACCATTCACTAATTCTCACCTAAGTCCTGAATCACTTGCAATAAAAGTCATCAAGAAATCAAGAATTATGTTTTCAAAAAGAAAGTTGTTTTCTTTCAGCAAGACTATTAAACTGTAAAATTCTCTTGCCACAGAGCACCTTCAAAGCCAAAAGTGTAGCACAATTTAAGTGAATTGGAGCTTTCAACAACTTTGTATACAAACTGCTTTGCAACACAGTCCAGATACAGTCTCTACCAAGTTCCTAAATTGCTGATTGCTATGAGAAAGGAAGGATACATTCAAGGCATTTATAGTATCTGAGCTTCATGGGCTACATGTTATTTTTGGAAAAAAGTAAGCTACCTTGATCTTCATCTGAAAGTCTGTACTACAGTCAGACTAAAGAAATAGGTAATTCTTTCTCCCCAGCCCAACACGCAGAACAGTCACTACCCCGACATCAAAGCATTCCTCTAAACACATTTTGCAGAGTTCACTACTCATTCATTATTCCATGAGCAAATACAACACTGAGAAATAAAACCACTTTTCATTAGCTCTAGAAGCAGTTCACAGGCACTGAAAATGCATCTTCCTGACAGATAAAGCAATCCTAGAAGTCATAAATACTGGAGGACACTAACAACTGGTTTCAATGCTTCAATAAATTTAATCCAAAAACTGATTATATAAAGCAAACAATGATTTCAAATGGATTTAATTACTTAGCAACTAAACAAATCTGCACTGACTGAATATATTGTAAGAGATGGCCAGCAAACCAGCTGCTTATCAAGATCTACACTTCCAGACCCAGAACACAACAGCAACTGCCACCCAAAAGAGCCACAGCCCGTGTTCCTCCCAAACTCAGCACACTCACATTCTCTCCCTACACTCTCCTATGACTGTGAGATGCAACCAGTAAAACAGGAGGAAAGAACTCGTATCAGCCATTTGCTGTCTTAGAGCTTCCTGGTTGGAAGTTTGTGCACTGTCTGATGAGTTTTCACCAGTTTATGTAAGTCCTTGTTTCTACATAAGCTTCCCAGTGGCAGGGTTTGTGTCCCCTACTCTAAACTCGGTTATAGGGGTGAGCACTCACAGTACCTTTAGCACAAATATACACTCTCCATTCCAAGGCTAATGTTAGACACAAGCGTTCCATCGCTGTAGCATCATCACTACCTATATTTTGCTGGTCTTCCCAACCTGCTTCAATGCCTTGAGTTTTCCTCTTAGAAATCATTAATCATGAATCTGCTCCATCTCTGTTCAGTTATCACTTTTTCCCCTTTTTAGCCTGTAAAGTGGCCAAAAAAGTGTTCTATGCTAGAAATGACAAAGAAAATGTGCAGCCTGGGGTGGCACCAAAGAAGGAAAGGAGAGAAGATAAAGTGGAAAATTCTCACCCATTATATCATTTGGAAGAAGATGCCAAGAATAGGTACCCAAAAATGAGGCTAGATGACTGATTTCTACACAGTCTATCACTTTTCAGACAGACATCCAAGTTCAGCAATAAATTCTAGCTTGTGCCAGGATTTCCAGACACTGTTCTTCAATCAATGCTTTTTAAAAAGTACGCCTTGCTTGTTTAAAAAGGAACACTCTAAGGACATGTTCTTCGATTTTTTTTAATTTTATTTTTTTTCTATCTCATCTGCTGCAGCAGTCTACACTTAAGGTGTAAACAGCACTATTGTACAATGTATTCCAAAAGCCATTCAAGTATTCCTAGTCAGAATTCATGCCCTAGACAGTCATTATTCCATTATCCCTGTGTATAATGTATTCCTTCAAAAGATTTTGAGATTAAAGCTGAAGACTTTAATATGAAAGTTTTATATATAACTGTTAGAAAGATCAGGAACTTTGCTGAAGCCAGCAAAACATGCTTCCCCACTAGATAAAAACTGGAAACAAATTCACTGCAAACATGAAAGTACAGACTTCTTTGTCTATACTCATATCCTATTCGTTTTATGGAATCAACTAAATCCCAAAGTAGCATCACACTACAGTACATATTAAATCTGGTCATGGTGACACTGCCTTCATTAATAATTCTCACCTTGACAAATAAAATATCTGACTGAAATTTAACATACATGGATAACTGTAACTAAAACTGAGCACAACAGCATTGTGTTTGCTTGTTTAAAATAAATTTTTTTAAAATGCCCAAAAATCCTTACAAAGCTACTTGCAGGCAGATTGGAGAATAGCATCTAGCACTGCAGCCCTGCTCAGTGCTTCCAAGGAACCCTATAACTGCAGCAGACAGCTGAAGAGCTTTGGGATTTGATCAGCAAGTACCACATGCTGAACTTTTACATATACATGGATCATCCCCTAAGTCTAGCATCGACATTTAGAGTCACAGATCTAATACTTGCACAGAATACAGAATGAAGTTCTGTGCAATACAAGCCATAAATTTAATCCTACACTTCCTTTCACCAAACCCACAACTGAATAACACCGAACTTTAAAGGTACCATCAGTTCTTTGATTATAGAAATTAGATCTAAATAATCTCAAATTACTGCCAGCATTGTACACCAAAGTTGATGTACCACATAATCTGTCCCTTGATCTGACCTGCCCAAACTCCTCCAGAGAGAGTATGAGTCTTAAGACAAACCACCCAAAGCAACAGTTATCCAGGATGCCCCCCCCCACCAAATCCTAAAATCTTCTGTTGCAACCATCTTTCATCCTATCACCTATAAACACATATGTGTGCTGCTGCACCCTCTCCTACTTTAATATAAGGTTTTAAAAACTGAAAAAGACAAATCTTTTCCAAAGCAAACAAACCTGGTACTCCTTTAAGGTCACTTTTCTAATCAGCCTCTTACTGTCAACCTTTCTCCCATTTAATTTGTATTTTCAGACAGCAGTTCCCAAAACTAGGCAGACTCCAGCACTGAACACCAAAGTAATTACTTCCTTTAAGTTCCATACAAAACTCCAGTTACTGACTGGAATTAAGCTTACTTTTCCATTCAACATTATCACAGTAGACTGTTACTGGAACCTACTATATCAATGGATCTCCTTCCACAGTATTGCTAAATAATCAACTATACTCAATTTCTAAAGAATGTTCTTCATATGTTTTACTTTGCACACAGAGATAAAATGGGGTCCATCATATCCCTTGTAAAAAAGAAGAAACAGATTGAAAAATTATATTTGTGTCTCCTCCAATTTTCTTTCCCTCAATTTTTGATGTTTATTTTTAAGTAGTGATTTAAGTATTGCAACAAAGCTAATGCCAGATTTTTTTCTATAAGTTTTGCAGGTTTCTCTGCAGGAATGTAATAAAACTTTCAGCAAAAAACCCTTTGAAATTCTGAGAGTTGTGACTTGTTATCTGGATAACATTTAGAACATATAGTTCATAATCTTAACTGAAGTTCCTAAAAGTCAGGCTTTCCTCTACATGTTTGATAAAAAACACAATGCCAAGCAGATCATTTTACTCAAGTCAGAAGATGTGAGAAGAGCCAGAATTTCAAGAAACTGATCTGAGTGTAAAAAAATAAAAATAAAAATAGAAGTTCCCATTTAAAAATTGAGTAATACTAATTACACTGCAAAAACCCACAAAAGTTATAGACAACCTGACTGAAAAGCTCTTTATATGTTCTCAACACATTTAAAATGATTGAAGTGTTCAATTTTATTTGAAATTGCTTCTGCTCCAGGCTACAAAACACATACTGAAGATAGATCACTACCGTGAACAATGGTGTCCTGTAACTTATATTGGAAAGGTCTAAAGGACTGGCTTGTTTTCCATACTGTATATAATGAAAGGTTAACCATCTTCCTAACCACTAATACAACATATACAACAGCTTGAAAAGTAAAGACTTTAGCTAGTAAAACTAGTTTTCTAAAAAGCAACCAAGAAAGACAACCTTATATTCCATTCATTCATCATTCGTGGCAAGGCTTCGCGAACGAAGATTTAGGAAGGCTCTATCCACATTTATTACAACCTTATATATTCAGATTTTAAATACTGTAATTTAACAGGCAAGGAGACTTCACCCAACCTCTCTAGGATTGTTTTTCAGATGCAAGTTCTGCAAAACTTGTATTATATACCACAAAAAAGTAAGTCTTAAATTACTACCACTATACCCACTTTACCGCTTATCCCCACTATACCACTATACTTTAAAAGAAGCTAGCTTTTAAGAACAAGCAATATTTTTCATCTCAAGATCAGCACATAAACAATTACAACTGCACAAAACATATCTGGTAAAACTGCAACATAACCAGTGGCAGACACTTACCAATGCACACATCTATCTTCCCCTTGATAGCAGCTTCATGCAAAGGAGTGTAGTTCCAATTGTCTCTGGCATTTGGGTCGGCCCCTTGACACAGTAACAGACTGACCACTTCTGCATGACCAAAGGAGCAGGCGTTGTGAAGGGGGATCAGCCCCCCATCGTCACGAGCATGAACATTGGCTCCCGTCTGTAGCAAGTGCTCTACAACATCCTTCCTTCCAAAACCTGCAAGAGAACATATTTCTGTTCATTTGCCTGGCAAAACAACATGATTTAATATTTAAAACTGTTCACTGTTCCAGTGCACAGATACCAAACTATATTATTCATGTTCTTCTTACACTTCTAAGTTCATTCACCATGAAGTGAAAATATACTCACCTGCTCCAACAACAGCTGGACAATTCATTTACACTCATGACAGAGCTGAACTGTGTTGTATTATAACTACCTGCCTAGCTGCCACTCTATCTCATTAAGAAGTTTTACAATAGGCTTGCCATTTTTTTTCAAGAAAAGCTTATTGTGAATTTTTAAAAAATATATAATCTGTATGTAACTAAAGCAACCATCTTACATACTATCTCTTGATATAGCTCTACATCTAGGAGAAATCCTCATATTAATAAACCCTGAAGGACAGTTCCAGTGCTCAAGCAGAACAACTTCATTTCAACCCAAAATACATTCTTGCTCTTTTACAGAGTCTGACAACTTCCAACTGATGGATAAGTTGACTCGAGGCCTCAGCTGGGACACAATGCCTCAGGAAGGTCTCGGCCTAGGAACATAGCCTCTGTTATGTCCAGGGAAGACAACACCGCAAAGCCAGCATTATCAAACTAATACACTTCAAAACTTGGCATCACTATGCCAGGCCCCAACACCTTCAGCTTGTTGTCTACAATGAACCTGGAAAGCTTCCACTGCCCAAATCTGCTTCCTATTGCCCCAAATGCCTTAGTACAGCAGTCTCTAAATTTTTGATTACACATGCTATCAGCAAAAAAATTTATAAGTCACCTACATACACTGCTGCACTATTGCATACATTATAAACATGCACAAAAATAGAAACTTTAAAAGGCTGAGATAAAGATGAAATAATAGCTGTTTTTAAATTTCCATTATATTTATTAACAGTACAAGATATATTTTCTTCCTGCACCCCAATGAAATATTTTGCACACTCTACTTTGGAGACCACTGCCTTAGAGGACCGGGGGGGGAGGGGAATCAAGTTCAAGAGGGACACTTTGAACCAAAACACAAGTGTTCATTTTCATACTAGGTTGTATCTCAAAGGTTGGACTGTATTTCTTATAAACCTCAGGGCTAAAAGCAGTATCACTGTAGATTTTAAAAGACTGCCACTTAAAGAGTTATTGTGTCTTCTGGTAATCATGTATACGAACCAGCTTAGGGATGAAGAATCCCACATGTACGAATTCTGTTTATGAAACAGCTGAATTAGTCCACAAAACACTACCAAAAACAAAACTAAAGGCCTTATGTCACTTCCAGAAGACATACACAAAGTTCAAGGGGTGCAAAAAAGAAGCTGTCAGCTCTCCTCCAGATGACTCTGTAACACAGCACAGCAAAATGCTGCTGAAACAGGCACAGAAATGGTTCTCAAAAGTCAGCACCCTCCGTCGCAGGCAACAACTCACGCACAAAGACCTCTCAAATTGGAATGTTTTACCCCAGAGTTGCAGTCCCTGAACAGGACCTCCATTTCAACGAATTAAGGCCCCTTTTTGCCAGAGCAGTGCACTGGTTACAGCTATGCAGACACATAACTTGGAATTAACGTGCTTTTCCCCCACAGTCCATACGGCAAGATCTCAAAGCCAGATCTAGCAGCTTTGCACCCACATCAGCTTATCCAGTTAAGGCTAATGTTACAACTTGACATCAGCGTTCAGTCAAGCTGCAGGCTAGCCTTTCTGCAGGAATTTACAGTCTCTTCAGTGAGGCACAGAGTCCTTCAACACGCTTTGAAGGACAGAAGTTTTCTACAAGCTGACTAATGCAGAGCCAAAACAAAAAAAATACCCTTTTACCAAGGCTTACCGTGGCTTGAGAATTCTGATGACAGTTTAACAAAATCTTTATTTCTGCCTAAAGAAGTTTTCTTCTATAAAACACAAACAAGCAGATGGAAGAAGCAGCTGGGGAAGACACCATGGATACAAACACAGACACACACATCTAGTAGAGACTGTAGCAGTCCACTCCTCGGTTAATCCTGTGTGGTAACATAGCTCAGGGGCTCCAGCTAGTAAGTCCAGCCTGGTTACTTTTCTGTAAGGACTCCCCCATTCCCAACGTACAGAGCCCTCAGCTGCTTCAGCAGTGATGCTGGACCACTACAAGTTACAAATTAGCACACTGGGCAGAGACCAAAGTGGGTTTTCTTTAATACATGGGGCTAAACAGCAGTTCAGCAGCTGCTCCACAAGCTGCTGAGTCCCAAAAGCTGCACGGGGGGGCCCACAACCAGACTGACACCCCACTCAGCAATACAATTTTAGTCCACCACTGCAGATGATTCAAAGCTTTCTGGTACATTATATAGAGATCACTGCGCATTAGAAATTACACTACAGAAATGGAAGCATGTGAATCAAAACTAGTATTATTAAAAGTGATATTTATTTATCATGACAAAACTGCTACCAGAAGACGTGTTTTTTCTTAACTGAACCACCAGCAAGGCCACTGCTGCTGTAAATCACTGCAGCTTCCAGCATGAAAACTCTTTTTAATTTGTTTCTGTTATAAAGCAGTCAAGGAACATCACCTGCAAGTTTCTAAATGGAAACTGACAGTTTAAAAAGGTTCAACAGCAAACAAAGCATCTCTGGTCCCCGAGTAAAGCTAACAAGCCCGGGACAGAAAGAACAAGAACTTAAGCCCTTGAAGCTCCCACAGTTTTACTGTTTGTTTGAAAGGTAAAGGAAAACTGAACCAGACAAGAATTAGGAAAGGGTGCTTTCAACTAAACAGTGAATCAACAGATTTTATTAGTCTTTAGTTTTTATATACTGAACTATTAAAAACAATGCTTAAAACTGCATAAGCATTTGGTTTACACGTGCCTCTTGTCTCTCAAGGAAAAACCACCTGAGTATACCTGAAAATCACAACTCCTTTTCAAATTGTTCAGTGTTGTAATTTTCAGGACTATACACATACTTCTTCAAGGTATTGCTGAACATGGGGTCATTGCTAAGGGTATCTTTGAAAATGCCAGAAATAAATACTTTACAGTTTTGGGGAACTACCTCTTCTGTTCAGTCCTCAAAAAGCACTGTGAGGCTGTAAAGGCTACTGTGATTTTATCCCACTGTACCACTCATCTTTCAGAGAAACAATTATGGCAACAGCTTCCGCACCACCATCTGCAAACCTAAGATGTTGAATTGACAAAGCGCCAGAAAGTCTTTAAAATTATCACATTACCCAACCTGATAAAGCAGTTGTAGTTACCAAAACTCCTGCAGTGTCAGGTTCATCTTTCATAAAAAAAAATATAACACACGCAAAGCCATTTGTGACAGATGATGCACATATGATTCAGTTTAAACTGAAGCAACTTATGTGATGACACTTAGGATGACTTTCAAAACACTATTCTTGCATATTCCCATTGCAACTTCGTAAATTAAAGTCTAAGGAAGAGTTCCTAAGAAAGGATCTGCAATCAAAGACCCCAAAAGACAACCGGATAGAAGGTTCCTACAGAAAACATCCAAAACCAGAGAAACCACAGAGAAGAGTCCCATTTAAAGAGCCAGCATGCAAGCTTGTTTTGATGAGATTCACCCGTCAGCTTCAACATGGACAGGGTTCCTTATCAGCTTGGCTATTTCACACAAGTAAAATGCACAAGCTTTGCCCTCATTTTAGCTTCTTTACACAATTCAGAATTTTCAGGCAAGTTGTAGTACCTCAAAAAACATTGTTCAGGAGAGAAAGGACGCAGTAATCCCAATATAAAAAAGGAGCAACAAGAGAACATCTGAAATTTAAGGGTGAAACAGTTGCCAGCCAAATCAAAGGCAAAAATTCAGAGTGACTGACAGGCTTCATTTCTCCAGTCATCTCACAGAAACAACTGATGACTAAGGCTTAGTGAAAGCCAAGAGCTGGACATAGCTATGATAGTTTTATATAAATTAAGAGATGGGCACAACAATTCACAGAAAACACCACTTAACTAGTTTTCTGCCAATGCTGTATTCTTGTCTTTTTTTCTCGCTTTCAGCCTAAAGTGACAGGTACAAATTGGAAAAAGGTTTTAGTTAGCAAACCGGCAGCTTGAAATTAAGCTAAATAAAACTTCTAAAATGCCATCAGACAAGATGAACACTACTTACTACTACTGCCATGATAACACATCCTGTTCTTCTGTCACAATCTGCTTTGAGGCCACAAGTTTGTCATGTCCCATCTCTTTTTGCAGCATTGAATCAAAGGAACAAGAGGTAACAGGCTGAGCAGGCAGAATGACTGATGGGAGAGGCAACACAAGGAAAGTAACCGGAGCACCAGCTGATACCCTCTGTTACACACTCCTATTAGGGCTTCCACCTTAAACCTCCCTTCAGTTAGTCACAAGCTTTCACATGGTAACAGTTTACAATCAATTTCTAATAGCCTCAAAAGACACAATTCCTTGCCCAATTTCAAGACTCATTTTCAGAAAGTTTGGTAAAAAACCCCAAACAAATAAATAGATGGACTCCCCTCTAGAACTGGAAGAATGCTTTGCCCAGTCAGCATGAGCATCAGTTTGATCAGTTTAAGTACAGCTGTACTGCTTCATCTGCTGCCCAACTAATGTCACTTGATCACCACACAGCATGAATTCCTCCAAATGCCAATCTCAACCTCTGCAAAGCTGCTGTTATATGCAGAGTTTGACTTATGACATGGAAGATTTCTAACTCTCATCAGATATTTATCTTCCTTTCACCTGTTTAGTCTTAAGAACACAACTACTCCAAAAAGAGTTAAGTTTCATAAAAGTGTAACAGACTTGTAGGTATTACAAGTAGGTACACTTGTAGGTATTAATGTGACCCTAAACAAAGCAGGAAAGATGTTCTTATTAAATGTACCCCCCCTTGTTAGAGCACTAAACAGCTTATATGAGAATACAAGACCTTGAAGTGGAAGAGAGTGTCTTAGAGACACACGACCTTTTGAGACAGAAC